AGAGAGAGAGAGACATACCTACCTATATATATATCCACTGAATTGATGTAATTGATGCACACAAAAGGAAGAAGTAAACAGCTTTGACAGCTCATTCCGTTGAAATGAAATATGACAAAGAGCCTTGCAGCTCTTATTCTTACTCTGGCCACAGTATCAGTATGTAATTCAATTGTAAAAAGATGAAAAGATTCCTACTGATGTCTGTCTTTGCAATTTTTTTCCATAATTGGGACATGTCAATTGAGTCAAAGGCAGAAGTAAAATTGATGAATGAGACAGAGTTGCTTTGTATGTTTGTTGGTATATTTCTGGATAAAAGCCTTTCAAAGTGGCACAATGATCCACTGTGCTTTATGAATCTTGCCTGACTGGAAAAAAATTCTTCCTCCCAATCGTTCAATTTAGTCAAGAGATGAGCATAACATTTAGAAGAAATATCCAGAAGACTAATTGGATGGTATTTGGCCGGCTCCTGCCTGCTGCCCTTTTAAAGGACTGGGTCCTTAATATTTAATTTCCAATTAATAAATACAATATAAAGTGTTATCTATTTCTGAGAAAAGTCTAGAATTCTTTATGTAATTCTACATTTTGTAAACTTTAATGCATTTTTCTTTTTCTTCATTCTTTTTTCAGATTTAACTCTTTAAGGTTCTTTAAAAAGGAATATATATATTTAAATACAGAAAAAATAAATAAGTTGAGTTTAAAGTGTGTTATTTCTTAACAATAAAGAAATAACAGGGATAGCATGTTTTAAATGTGAAAGGATATCTTCTAGACTAGAGGAAGAACAGTTCCACTATGATACAGTGGACAGAACATGGAATTAAAAGCATATTCCTGTCAGAGTCTACTCATATGCACACCACCAATTGAGATTTACACATCCCTCATATTTATTCCAAACAAGTGAATTTAGAACTGTAACAAAAACAGGCAACATGGAGGAATATGGCTAGTTTATGGAACCATCAAGACATTTGCATTGTCTTCCTTCACATCTTTATTTCTCCAAATTGCTGATTGTTTAGGACAGTGCTTTTAAGTCTTTCATGCTTTTTGAACTTAATTCTCTTCTTGCAGACGTTTCATCCTATTAAACACCTAGTTGGGTAATAAAATGTCTGCAAGAAAACCACCAAACTCAGAGAGCACCAAAGACTAAACAATTCAACCTTGAACTACAAATAATTATCTTCTATAGACCCAGTGCTTTTCAACCGAGGCACCTTTTAAGATCTGTGGACTTCAACTCCCAGAATTCCGCAGCCAGCTGGTTTCGGCCGATTGCAACCGACCTGTGATTTATTACGATAAAACGCTATGAACAATTACAGTCGGATTCCAGGAGCCCAATTCAAATATGAGGCTTGTCCCTGATCTCTAAGTCGGCTTCTAGATGTGCTGCTCCAACCCTGGGCAAGTTCATTTGGAAGAAAGCCGGCGCATTTATCAGCCGGAGCTTACAGAAACCGCCTCCCGACGTCAACCCTCAACCTTTGAACCGTGAGGATGACGGAGGGGCAGCGCGTCTGAGGTTGCGAGTGCGCATGCTCGGGGGGAGGCCGACCACGTGGCCGCGCGCCTGCCTGGTGGGAGCTGAGAGGGTCGGGCCTGCAGCGAGGGCCATGGCGGCGGCAGCAGCGGCAAGAGGTGGAGGAGAAGGCGCTTCGGCCGGCGGCCGGGAGCAGACGGCGGCCTTCGAGAGCCCCCTCTACGTGACAGGAAGCCCCTGTGCCTTTTCTCCTCACGAGCGGCGCTTGTTGGCTCTCTCTGGGCCGGACGGGCGGCTTCGCGTGTGGGAGACGGCCAGCAGCCGCCTCCACCACGAGTACGTTCCTTCTGCCCACCTCAGCGCCGCTTGTACCTGCCTGGCCTGGGCACCGCCGGGCGTCGGAGGAGGCCGACCACCTCCCAGCAAGGTATTGAATGGGTGGACTTGCCCGGCGGCGGCACGGTCGCCAAGACCGAACATGCTGGGTTGCGTTTGCTGGGCCTGGGCCTCCGTTCCCCGTCATGTGGGAAGCGCCCATCCCCAGCAGCGAGGCGGGGCCTGTCATTAGAGGCTGGGGTGGGGGGGGGGAAAGAAAATACGGTACGGGGGTGGGGGGGAAGCCTCTTCTGAGATAAAATCACAGCTCCCCCCGTTTCGCGTGCAAATTGGAGCCACGTGCGAATGGGACCTCCGCAGCGCCCTGCTTTTTCTTAAAGGACGGAGGACCGTCCGAGGACGGATCCCGAATCGCGTCGCCTTCTTGTGCAGGGGGCTCGGGCCTCTCCTCAAAGCAGCCCCGATTTCCCCACACACCCCCGGGCCGGGATTCTTCAGGGTCGGGAGCAGCACATGTGTGCGCTTCCTGGCTCCGCCCCTGCCCGACGCAAGGAGGCTTTTGAAGAGCCGAAAAGAAGGCGCTGCTGCTGCTTTGAAATGCGTCAAGGTTCACGCCACCCGTGACTTGGCGGGCTCACCTTTCTCTAAAAAGGGGGTTTGCTTCTCTTTCTTCTAATTCGTTTTCCCCAGCGGAGGCATTGCGTAGAAAATTCGGAAGAGAAAAGCATCGATCGTAGGAAAAGGAAAACCACGTCGAAATCTAATTATTT